CATGTTATGTTAAAATAATTTATTGCCAGATTATTATAGCAAAAAAGGTATTTACGAATGTAGGTATTCATATAGTACTTCCAATATTTAATATTAATATAACATGGCATCTCCTACCAATTTTAAATTTTGCTGTGCCCGATAGAGTTCGTTTGTATTTTCTAACCACCTGTATGTGTACAGTATAGATGCAATAAATAGGTACTTGATTACTTGATTAATTAGGTATTATAGCGCTATAAGTTAAAATGCTAAACGTAAGTAAGTAATAAACAAACATTATGATAGCTCTTTGATATAAGCTAAAATGCTCAGCATAAATAAGTAATAAAAAATATTATCTATGTGGCTTATTACAAAAACATAAAAATAATCTGTGTGCACCTCTGCCTACCCCTTCGAGGATAAAAGGCGTGATGTTATATTATGTTATAAAAATAATATAAAGCTGGTATTAGGTACTATGGAATAGTACCTAATAAATAGCTGTATATTATTTTTATATATATTATGTTGCTTATTAATAAATAAATAAATTGGTAAGTACGTACCAAATTATATTATATTATATTATATTATATTATATATAGGTAAGTATGTACCAAATTATATTTTTTTGTAAAAATTACATTGGTGTACCAGACATCGGTATAGTTAGTTAATCAAATTATTATCACATTATCAATATCTATCTAATTTATTAATTTAGTAGTTAACTCGTCGAGTACCGGTTTTGTAGACACAATTATAGAACAATAGGTTGCGGTCACTGGTGACCGCTTGGTGTTTGACAGTTTAATTATCATTAGATGACAATGACAATCCAAAATATTAATGGAATGTATAATTTTATGCCAGAATTTTTTTTTTAATTTCTTTGCAAAGTAAGTAGGTATTATAAGGTAATATTAGGTTTTATAGGTTTTGTCTTCTCCAACTACAATTAACTTGTTGAGTACTGTCAATTATAGACATAATTATAGAACAATATGTTGCGGTCACCGATGACTGCTTGATGCTTGACAGTTTAAAAAGATAAAAGTTAGTAAAGCCACTCAACCACACATTATAAAGAAGTATAAATAAAAGAGTTGTTATTATCTAAAAGTGTTACAAAGCAACTTACAGTAGCAGTTTTGTCAGGCCATCTATCCAAGTTCTGCCAAACAAAGTCATTTGCTGTGTAACTGGTCACCGGAATATCGCTGAATGCGGAAGTCAGTATTTTTTTTTCTGGAGCATTAGAACTTTTTGGTCTAGTCGCAATAGACACAAAACCAGTCTTCTGTTTGTTTAGAACCTTTAACACTTTGCTCCTTACAACACTGGCCATGTTTGGACTTTAGATTCAACTGCAAATGATAACAATTTTTTAGCACATCACACGCAAACATTAGTATTTATCACTGAACACAAGTATGTTCTTATTTTAAATAAATAATTCTAATCGTGTTGCGAATTGAAATTAACTCGTCGAGTACCGGTTTTGTAGACACAATTATAGAACAATAGGTTGCGGTCACCGGTGACCGCTTGGTGTTTGACAGTTTAACTCGTCGAGTACAGTAAAATGGGGTGAATAGGGTTTCAGCGGCGAAAAGGGACAGAAGAGGGGTGAATAGATATAAGGAAATTCTTCATAGTATCGATTCACCCCTCTTCTGTCTCTATTCACCACACAATCCCTATTCACCCCATTTTACGGTACCGGTTTTGTAGACACAATTATAGAACAATAGGTTGCGGTCACCGGTGACCGCTTGGTGTTTGACAGTTTAAGATAGTTACTTGTCTGCATTCAAATAAAGAACATAATAATTAAAACAATAATTTTCCTTCCTATTAATTGTTTTTAAAATTACGCACGTACTTTAATTTTAAAACAAGTGAAAACATAAGATTTCGCCTGATGCGGATGCCGTATGGGTGTGTAGGAATTTAATTTATTCAAAACAACTTAATAATATTCTTAGCGAGAAACCTGATTTTCTTGAACAAATCACGTTCAATTTTTATAAGTAAGTAATTTTTGAAGTAACTTGTCGTATGAAAGGCACTCGAGTAATTCAGTTAATAAATGCTTGTATAAAGAAAACAAAAAAAGAAAAGTAAAATTGTTTACGTTAGGTGGAAAGTAATCAAATAAAATATTTACGGCGCTCCACACGTATTGTCTCACACAGCTATTACACCCGAGCCTTCGTAGGCAACTGAGGAAAGCAAATTGCAGTACTAATTATTTGTAGCACTATTCACTTCCAACACATACATACATTTATTATTATATTTGATAATAGCAAACTCAGTTTACTTCTCAATCTTTGTGTCCTTGGACTTTGAAACTACAAGACATTAAAACTACAACCGGACATTCACTTTGTTTTCGAAGTTAACCTATACAAATTACAACTACGTAAACACGAAAAAATTCAAGCGCTAGTATTTAGCCCGATTGTATGAGTACGAAAGAGAGGTCAGATTATTTCAGAGTTATTCCGCTGTTGTATATAAATTGGTAGTAGTATACGGTAACAGCTGGTTGTCGCTTCAATCTACGCAAGTTTGTCATGAAATTAAGTAATTTACATAATAAAATGTATTGCAATAAAAGGACACAAAAATAATATTACGTAAATAAAACAAAATATTTTGCTAATTTACGTATGTCATAAGATGTAAATGGTGAATTTTGTCATTATTTTGCAGCATCATTGCAATAGGGCCAGCAGAGCTGCAGAGCGTGGGTGCTCTTGCAAATTTTATCTAACTCGGTGAATTACATTACGACCTGTAGTTAGTCAGATTTATAGCCAATTTACCTCTATATGCATTATTTGTGTAGGTGTGTAGTAGGTACAATTCAGAGTTGTTTTCATTAACCAATGTGCAGTTAGAGACTGTTACACATTTAGGTAGGTATACATATTTTTAGCACTTACGCTTAAGCCTTGGATTAATAACAATTCTATGTGGTAAGCCTATTATCGTACATGTGATGCATGCACGGCACTCCGTGCATTTGTGTACCTACCTACAAAGAACCAGTAGATGATAGCAGTGGCGTGCAGAAGTTTCCGAGACAGGGTAGGCAATTTAATATTGTATGAGTAACACCCCCTCCCTCCGCCGTACAACTATACTTACACAAGATGTGAAGATATACATAAGACATTTGATAAATGCGTAAGAATATTACTTTTTTATTCTTCCGCCAAATTTTCGTTACACTGCCATCTCGAGTAGTTTTTGTGAAGTATTTCATCAGCTATTTTTATTTTTATTTTATTTATCTTTATCTTTCAGCTATCGATTAAGCCAACATAATTAGATGTTATAGAATTATTATGTTTCATCAAGATTGATTTCAAAATCAAAATGTATTACGATTTTATGAATGTAGGTACGTCATCAAACAAAACAATAACAAGCGCGGCCGGCTGTGGTCGACCCGAGTATAAGCGGTATATTTGTTTTTAATTAGTAAATGATGATAGGTACTTGGCTCCAACGCCTGAATCGAATACACAGATCTCTTATTCGCCAGTCCATCATTGAGTCTTTTCAAAATGTAACTTCAAATTCTGCCCCAGTCAGAAACCCATCAAGGCCCATTATTTTTAGTTTTGACTATTAATGCAGTCAAGTTGTGACAGTTCCTTTATATTATCATCTGGATAATAGGTGACTACGTCGTTTTATTAATTTAGGTAAGTGTACAAATAAAATATAAAAATAATGCTATATTATTTAATATCAGAGAAATACAGTGATATAAACTTAATTCAGACCTTACTTTAGACGGCTGAGGACAGTGAGCAGTCAAAGTATTAAGAACGCGTAAAATTATACAAATTATTAAAATATGCCTACCTAACAAAAAATACATACACATACATATTATCTATACAGTTCAAAAGGTTAAACATAAAGTGAAAAACGTAGGTAAATATTACAGCAAATCATTTGTTAAAATAATCAAGCCTTTATTAATTATTTCAACAAAATATTTTACATGTGATACAAATTGTTAGGCACAAAAGAAATTGCGAAAATCCTTCTTGTAAACACAATAAAAACTAAACAAATAACCTTTTTCGGAAGGGCATAAAAGTAATAAATGCTGTTTAAATCTTATGTTAAGAAAACTTAGTCTTGAACATATTCTGGTATCGCTTATACTTCAGCCCCGCTTAGGGAGTTGACTCGGCATTAGTATTCACGTCACAAAATTGAGTAGTGGTCAGCAAGGCAACCTGTACCTTTCTGTCAGATTCCTTTATTACATTTACAAATTTTGCGTTTTGAATATTAAGTCTAAATCACAATGAAACTTGATAGACTAGGTAGGCAGCAGGTCGCCACTGGACATTAATCCCAAAACCAGCTGTGAGAAAATGTAACATCATGAATACACACGGCGAGTGCAATCCCTAATAAAAACGAAAGTAAATAAACTCAAAAACCTCTGTAAAATACTTCTAAAGATTTCACAATACTATTCTGCATATAATCAAAGATACATTGCAGGGTCCAAGTTATGAAATAAGCATTCAAGGTGAAAGAAAACCTCTACATAGGTACTTTGGAAGGATATCTTTAGTAAATTGAACACAATTTGTACCAATATTGGACTAGTAGTAACTCAATTTTTGGCAACTAAGAATAACATTCTACATTCACAGATTTTTGTAGAAATTCTACAATAAACATTATATTATGAATCATAATATAATGTTTATTGTAGATATATAGATATATATCTATATCATAACTTATGATATAGAAATAATTCATGCAAATTAGTTTAAACAGTTTATAAGTATACAGTTACATAAGTTATAATGTGATTTAGACTAATCCGAATACAATTTTCTAGTTTTTTTTTACTACTAATAGGTACTCCGAACTTAATATTAACTTCAAATTATTATGGTAGCTTTTTATCAATCGTCGTATCTAAACAAGCGGCAGGAATAAATTGCGAAAACATGACAATAACTCACATTCGATCCAGTTGTTATCAATTAGTTCCAAAATCAATTAACATATGCTTATTTCATTTTATTCTTTAAAGTAAAATAATAGGATAATGTAAGATAAATACCTATACATAACATGTTGGCGTGAATAAATGAAGTTAATGACCTCTTACATACTTGATGGAACATAGACAGTATGAAAAATGAAATTAATATAATTTTAGCTTGTATACTAATTAAATAGTGCAAGTTACATTAAAATGGATATCGTTATGAGATAAATAGCGACTAAATAATAGCAATGAACATACAGAAGCCATTTTCCAACATTAACTTGTTGTTGAATAGTATAGTATACCCATATTGGCAACTTTTATAAAGAAAATAACCCCCATGTTTGCTAACTTAAAATCGACAATCAATCTTTAAAGGCTACTAAGCATAGCCGATTGACAATTTTGATGATCATTCAACATTTATCCAGTCTTTTATTATACACATACTCTCATCGTACTGATTTCAAACTATTGACACCTATAAGTTTCTTCAATAAACATTCTCGGTACAGATATATAATATATATAGAATATAGTCACAAAGGAGCAGACGCTTCACCTGAGGCCTTAGTACGAGTTTGTTTTACGTTTAAAGTAATCGTAATGAGTACGCGTTCGGCGCTGTGATTGGTTGGTTCATTGGCGCCGGCCAATCAGAGTGCCAAACGCGAACTCGTTTCGAATACTTCAAACGTAGAACAAACTCGTACTATTAAGGCCTCTGATAGTCTGATTGCAAGCCGTAATACTAGAGTAGTTACAAACGCTGGTTGGGCCTCATTCACACAGCGAAACAAATCCTATGCGTTGTTTCGCGGTTGTTTTTTGGGATGTCGTGGTATCTCTCCGGTTCAGCCGGTCCATTCGTGTCTAAGAATGGATCTCCCAATTAACAAATTCGTATATTTCCATACTAGACATATTAATGAAATATTCCACAAAATAATAATATATTACACTCGAAGTCTTGTCATAAATCCTTGACCGATCATTCTTCACAGCTTCAATAGAAATAGGCATTTCGCCAACTATGTCACATGAACAAATCAAATGGGCCAAAGTATTTGTAACATCTCCGTACATTGCTCTATTTTAAGTTCGTTACCTTTTTGTTCTGAAAATTCTAGCTAAGTGACATCATTTGCAAATGAAACCTTATTATTGAGGAATAAAGGTGGGAGTTACTATATAGGAACGAACAATCGATATTGATTAAAGCAAATCAAATTATTGACTTATTGTTAGCAAGCTAGTTGTTGATTTATTTGCAGAGAAGACCTACATCGTCCATTTAAAGCCACTTGTGTATTGTCATCGACATATAACTAATGGACATGCCGTACGCGTATAATCTGCAGTAATTTTTTGGTTTGAAAAGAGTGAGAGAGATAGCCTATGCTTTCGGTCTACCGCTATCTCTTTCTCGCTCATAACGTTTTAACTACGGTACTATTTTGAGAGAGATAAACATAGACCGAAACTACGTTTCGTCTCTTTCTTTCGGATTGCCATAATTCTCATCTCTAAGGCATGTCCATTAGTATATTTCGATGTTTATTGTATTATGATATGAACAGAATTTTCCTATTGGTCACTTCCTAAAAAGGTATCAAAAGTTTGAAATCAGTTTATATACAAAGCCTTCTCACCAAATACATACTTAAAAATGTATTTTCCGATACTTCCAAGTGTATGGTAACGTGAATTGAAGCCACTTTGCACTTGGTTTCTTAACTGATGCCTTTATAATAATGTGTAGGAAACAACACGTGAATAAGGCGGGTGTAGTAATTACCAAAACTTAACATTTTATGTTATCCATTTTCAATTGTCTTGTCTCTTATCTGGCTCCACTGGAAAAGAAAAAAATATTAAATTAGAGCTTTTTCCATTAAGTGTGGGAGAGCCATGCTTCGGCACGAATGGGCCGGCTCGACCGGTGATACCACGGCCTCACAGAATACGGACGTGAAACAACGCTTGCGTTGTGTTTCGTAGTCTCCCCAATCCCCGAATCCCCCACATTTCTCAAACTCCTAATTCCCAAAAGGCCGGTAACGCACTCGTAACGCCTCTGGTGTTTCGGGTGTCCATGGGCGACGCGGCGACGCCGATTGCTTACCATCAGGTGATCCGTCTGCCCGTATCTCATAAAGAAAAAGTAATTTTCAAGTAATTATAGTTATTATGATAAATAAAATTGAGTATGTTAGACGTTTACTTAATCGTAATTTTGTTAAAAAGATAGATTTGATCATGGAATATAGGCTATTTAAAAAATTAAACTGTAAGAACAAAGAGTCGAAAGTATAACTATATGAGCAAAAGGTGAAAGTACGGATTTTTTGTTAATCTTACACATTGAATTACTAGACAGATTTGGATGACACTAATTTTAATAGTTCGAACAAAATGTTCAAATAGAAACATAACATCACGCCTTTTATCCCCGAAGGGACAGGCAGAGGTGTGTAACACACACTTTTCACTATTTATGTTATGAGTCCCATGTAATAGGGGGTGAGCCTACTGCCATATACCGGCCACAGTTACAGACTCCGTGCTACTACTGAGAATATTTAAAAACTCGGTAATACTTTTGCCCGAACCGGGAATCGAAGCCGAGACCCCTTGCCCGGCAGTCGCACTTACGACCACTCGGCCATCGAGGCAGTTAAATAGAAACCTAGTTAGACTAAACTGAATCTGGGTCAGGTTGACTGGATGAAGAGAGGTTTGAAGTTTGAGCAATACCAATTGCTCAAAATTCAAAAACCTTTGGTATTGGCCATGATATTTATTTGCAAAGAAACTATGAAGGTGATACCACTTTAAGTGTGTCATAAAACATGATTTTATGAGGTGTTAGCTAGTAAATATAATTTTATTGGAAAATAATGATCAGGGGTTCGAGCCAGTGATGGGCTGATGGAAGGCTATCAATCATATTTATCGCCAAAGCATGGAACATGGTGCTAAAAACAGTATTTACAGCTCAAACTTACATAATTGTGTTGGCTTTTATGATTACTTTTTGTGTAGTATTACTATTACTAGTACTATTACATGGGACTCATAACATAAATAGTGAAAAGTGGGTGTTACATTGTACAGTGGCATAATGTGCACCTCTGCCTACCCCTTCGGGGAAAAAAGGCGTGATGTTATGTTATATTTTTGTGTAGTGTTTTTATTTTCAAAAATAGGAGGGGTTCTCAATAAGGGCTATCGGTTTTTTTAATAGTTTTCTTAGTGTCCACGGACTCTTGACCATGCCCTTGTCATTAAATTACATTTTCTTAACCCGTTGAAATCCATCCCCTAAATTTGGTCATACAAAAGTAGTCTCTAAACATTACAAATAAGGTCTATAATGTAATGTAATATTAGTGGAAAGCGGTCACCGGTGACCGCTTAGGGATTTATGGGTTAAAAGGGATGTCGGTTTCATTCTGTTCACCAGATGAAAATAATTTGGCTTGAAGTTTGTGTAGCTAATAACTAGTTCTTTTAGTTTGACACTAGCTACTTTTCTATTACACGTTATACAAATGCCATCTGGTGGTAAAAAAAACCTTTATTGAAGCCTTTATTATGTAAGGACAAATTTGTAAGTATTACAAGCCAAATGCTTTGTTTGTGTTTCAAAACATATTCGAATTATTAAGACAACAGAGGCATTAGTACGAGTTTGGTTTACGTTTAAAGTAACCGAAACGAGACCTCGTTGCTGGCTCCAATGAACCAACTACTCGTACTATACGCTAAGATACAGATGTAGTTTCAGTAACAATATTAAGACATCTTTACCTACCGTAACATGGAAACGACCTGCGGGGAAAAGAAATAGAGGCCATCCAAGGAACAGGTGGATTGATGAGATAATTCAAGTAGCAGGAAAAAATTGGAGAATAAAAGCAAGAAATAGAAAATTGTGGAGCAAGCTAGAGGAGGCCTTTACCCAGCATGGGGTTCCAATGAGATAATAGTTATAGTTAAATATTTATTAAGAGAATATATTATTTAAGGTTGTTGGAAATATATGGGCTTTATTATTATTATTACCTACCGTAACTTACTGGAGATTCCCGATATCTTCCTCAAACAATCTTTTCCCGCCTTTTAACAGTTTCTCAGAGTCATTACCGAACTTTTTTGTGTATTCCTCTAATCTGATGAGCCATTGTGCCCAGTGCTCCCTTAGTTTATCCGAAGAGAGGTGATAAACATCAGCTTTAGATCCATCTGTGTATGCTATGACTAATAAGGCGTCTCGCACGTTCAAATGTTTGTAGTTCAAGTCGTGGCATACTGCGCCATAGTAAGCAGCTAGTTGGACAGGGTTGTCGTAAGTATTCGCTATCGATTTACGAGGCCTGTCCGATTTCTTCCATTCGATCAGAGTTGGCTTCTCCCTGGAATTAAGAAGTAGATAGGTCAGTTAATGTCAAAACCTTAATTTTAATTAAGGTTTTCATAGATTATAAGAAATGTCTGGTCAGTGAATATCTATTTCTCATACTTGTGCAATAATGTGTCATAAAGTCATAATAATATTTGTTATTGTTGATAAATAAAATTGTGAGGCATTGTAATAAGAATTTTTCTAATTTAATCAATAGAATAGATACTTCACACATCGACAGTCGAGCATGACAAATGATTAATATTTTGATTGCTTTGCGATAAAATAATATTCAAACATATCAATATTTTTTCTATTAGGTATGCACACACAGACAGTAACAATAACGAATGCATTTTTAACTCTATTATTATGTAGTAAAATCGAAAACCTATTGAATTAAATTGGTGGCAATGCAAACACAGATTAAATTGAGCGATCATTATTCGTTGTTACCAGATGGCGCCACAAGCGACTTAAGTCCACTCATTTCATCAAAGTTGTTTTCTAAATATTTACGTAGTATTATTTACATCAGACAAAAGACTACAGATTTGGAGGCTTAAATATTCTATTAATAATTAGGAAAGAAAAATAATATGAAACGTTCAATCAACTGTTTAAAAAAAAATTAAAAACATATGTCACTTTCAACAAAGATCCTACATTCGACAGTCATGATGAATTACATTATTATTGAAATAAAACATCTGTGGTAAACAGTTGCTGCTAAATATTCTTTTAGCCCACTCAGAATTCTAATTCCGAAGAAAACATTAAAAACACGAGTAAGAAAAACAATCAAATTGCGCCGCAACTCATATTTTCTAACGAACGTCACTCGGACTATCAGTAAATATTCTTGTTTAAATCTACGTGTCTGCTACTGACGAATAGCTATATTATGTTGTCATTGTTATCTCTGATTCGTTCTAATTAAGTTCTTATGTACAACGAATACCTTAGGTTATTTCCTGCATTCAAATTAAATTCAACAACAAACTCATCACTTTTTTAGCTAAGTCGAAATATATTCAGAATTCTTAAAGCTCAGACAAGATTGAGACAAAACCTGAAATCAACTACCTAGTAACATTTTGTCAACGATTTCTTAAAGATTTGGAAAGTGTTTACTGTTTATTATATACCTACTTCCAGTTTTACCTATTCCAAAGAGCGTAATTGTACAATAGAACATCAACCATACTATTCTTTATTAAAATCGAAAATACGTTGAAGAAAATTAATAGATAAAGGTACTTTAGTACTGCTGGCGCCTGTACTCTCTGATATCAACACTCTAATATGTTCAATAATAAATTAAATTACTGTTACGTGAATTATCCGAGGAGTTTGGCACGTGTCCGTCTGCCCACAAGATTATATTAAGCGCCGATAACCTTGAAACTTCCCTTGACATTAGCAATCTGTTATTCCAAATCGTGGATGTCAGTGACTCCTTTATCGCGAAGGCATTTCGTGATAATGATAAACTTTGATAATAATAAGTGACGTTGTAAGATTTCTTTTTGTATTGTAATGTTATTTTTAGTTGTTTGTTTGTGTCTTGAGGCTTCCAGGGGGCGCGAAGGATGTCTAATTCTACTGTATTATACATTGGACATCTATATTCCACTGTCAGAAAATGTTTTAGACAACAGTTTCATGCTTTGTATTACCTTGATCATAATTCATGACAACAAAAAATATGCTGAATTTATTCACCAGCTTAGAAAAGAATATCATAATCAGCATAGAATATCAAAAACATCTTTATAAACAACTCAATAGAATTGAATAGGTGAAGCCAATATTACAATGCAACCAAATATTATTGTCTCTATCATTGTGTTTGCTCTCTGTGTATTTTGGACCATCAATATGAATAGGTATCGAACGAAAAAACAAATAAGGCTCAATTTCGTTCACTACAATTCACAAGTTCCAACGACCTCAAATCTATAGATCGCGCTTATAAAAGTCCAATCACATTAGTCTCAAATGCAATGATTGTTACTTTCTCTGCAAATCTGTGACGCAGTGGTCGGCCTTGCGGTGGCCTAGCCAGAGGGCTTCGCAAACTCGATTGTATGCTTCGGTAACAAGCCAGTCGCAACACACCCACTTGAATTTGTGCAATGTGTCTGGGGCTTAAGATTAATATGGAGGTAAATAGACTTGCTAAGCTGATAACTAGGTGGTTTAGTAAGATTGGAATTCCATGTAAATCAAATAGTGGTTTAGCCTATCTAGTTACTTATGTAAATAATGTAAATATGAGGTACCAAGGGTTAATAATGTTATGGTGATTGATCAATGAAAAAGCGTATCCCGTACTTACTCAACCATTTGCCAAACGAAGTCCGGGAAGACAAAAAATAAAAATAAATCATAACCATTTTCATAGTAAACTACTAATACTAAATAGTAATTTAAATATAGAAGATCCAACAGTCAAACTATTTATATGTAGTTTTGTTGCACATTGCGTTGGATTATAAGGCATACCATGTACCTTTATTATTAATAAATAAATAAAAAATAACTTATCATAATGGAACTAAAGGCTCGTGTAAGAGTGGGTGAACTGGAACTAGGAACCTCAGAATGAAATCGCACAATATGATGTTATCAAAAGTATACAAATAAGTTTCTACTCACTCATAATCCGCAATTGCATCAAAAATCCCCCTGTACTTCAATACAGGGTGTATGACATTTGATTCTATCGCTTTTGGTGACGAAATGTGTTTCAAAACATCAGCTACTGACACCCAAACACCTTCGACCTCCTTTTCAATGCGAAGCTGAGTTTGTGGCTGCGTGAAGTAGTTCTTCAAGGTACTATGGAATTTCGTACCAACTGCCATTTGCGCTGTGGAGAAAAAGAAGCTCGCATGAACATTGTTTTAAGACTCAAATTACATTAAGGTCAGTAGGGGCCATGTTTTAGCATTTTTAGTGTCTTCAATGCCATTTAGGTACTAATTTTAAACTTTCTATAATTATATTTTGAGTGTATTCTGTTATACATGTCATTAGATCAATCTAATGTCTATTCTAAATCATTGTGACCACACCATTGAGAGAAAGTATAGTAGCACTAAACAATGAATGATACACTGCTTGCTCTACGAATAAGGACACATCATTCACTTAAAACAAATATGGAATGGTTGCTATACAATGAATTATCGAATACTCTCCGTGTGTCGCTACTTCAAGCGCCATCCAAATATAGTTCCTTCATAAGCTTCACATACTTCCTAATTAATAGTCACATGTCTTGGCAGTAACAATAAGCTGTTTGATATCAAATATCAAAAATCTTTCTCTCAATTGCTTCTCATAGCAATGTAGCTTGGTAGTGTTACATGAATAGAAAAACATAACAGCCTATCCAAAACTGAGTTAAGAACATCATTGGTTAACCATTGTCAAGTTAAAAACATTGACATTATCAGACAGATCATGGAAGATGTATTGGAAACAACCTCCATATTAATCATTTTTTTTTATGGAATAGGAGGCAAACAACAGATCACAGGCATATCATCTGATGGTAAGCGATCAGCACCGCCCATGGACACCCGCAACACCAGAGGACTCACAGGTGTGTTGCCGGCGTTTTAAAAAGGAATACTCATACAACTTATAGAGTCAAGAAAAATTTGAATATAAACTTACATGTGTCTGTAAAAATTAGGAACTTGAAACTGCAATCACCATTGCTTTAAATATTGTAGTTGTTATTGACTTTTTACTTATGAGTTAGCAACAACATTCTCATTTACAATGTATGGTTTATATTTAAACAACTGCATTTATAAGATATCAGTGAACATGTTTTTATTTTTATAGGTATGGTATTGAAGACAGACAGTTTTAGAGATAATTTTATTACTTTTGCGGTGATAATATGATTTTTTACTAATTTCGTACTTGGTTTTTGGATGCCAGTAGGTAAATCAACTTCCAGTGTATTTGATATTTTGACTATTAAATATTAATTATGGACACTAGCTATGCTAACCTGAAGGATTTTTAATTTTTTACTGTTGAGGGCTGATTTTTCAATAAACAGAAAATATTTAACTGTAGAATGAAATTGACACTTGACAGTTTTTAGTATGGATTTTTTTTAATGGGGTAAAATCATAGAATTACTACTCCCGCCCGGGTGAGGCGGGAGGGAGTGTCAGACTCTTACTGACTAAAAACCACCCCGTTCCTTCTCCTGCACGTCGAGCCGGAGCCCCGGCAACCCATTAGGTTCTCCGCGACTCGTTAGGTTCTCCGCAGATTGCCAAATATTAAAGTCTTTTCCCCAATAAAATTTATCTTACGTTATATAAATGGCTTTTATGTTTCAATTATAACTTTTACTCATAATTATCATGATCTACCCATTTCTATTACCTAACTATTTCTTTCATTCTACACAACACAATGTTTTGAGTTTTGCTTTTTGTTTTCTATTGACATGACAATGATCTAAGAATGACATCATGATGCAATTTGAAGATTTATTAAACGAGAATTTATTTAACTTTTTATATACCAGTTTAGGTTTTATAGCAAAATATCAGTTTAAGAGAAGTCAGTGTGTACAAGGATGCTTTGAGTTTTTAAGGAAAATATTTAATTAGAATTTGATGAATGTTTTAAAAATTTTCCAAATGTAGGTTATGACTTTGATTTTACTTAGTTTGTATAAACTACAACAAATAAAGGATAATAATTAATTGACAAGGAAAATAAAAATGAACCCATTACCCATTACTTAAATTAGCAGAAAAATAAGTCACTAACCTGCATAGAATTTAGTGAATTCCTCCAATCCCATCTCAGCAATTCGTTCTTGTTTCCATTTTTCTAATGCAGACCTGGACTCGTCTGTCATAGTCTTGTTCAATATCAGGGTCACAGAAGGATACTGCTGAGCATAATCATTCTTGTGTGGTTTTATTTGAAGGATTTTGTCCTCACTTGCATAGCCAGGCTGGGCTGGGGAGCTACGGGTTGCATTACACGATGCAGAGGTAGCTACACCTCTCACAGTATTATTCAAGACTACACCAACAAAGTTCACACAGTGCCTAGTATTCTGCCACATTTTCGTTTTCAACACATTCACTGCCAGCACAGGATTATACTTCACATAACCAGACAATGTCTGACTCTGTCTACCATTTCTCTCTGTACTTTCTAAGAATTTCAATTTATTTTCGTTTGAAGCAGTCGTGTCGTTGTTTTGATGTGATGTCCTATTTTTAGCTGTAACACACAGATAAAAGCGGCGTTATGCGTGCGCGTGTGTATCTCGCGGCGCCAAAACTGAAATGTCATATGATGTTAATTGGCAAGATTCGCTACGCGGACACTATTATGATACGTAGTATGTACGCATAAATTGAGATCGAAAGTCAACACGCGCGTAAACAGTTTTATTATTATCGACCCGAAGCAACGAGATATGCGGTTCCCATTACCACTAGCGCAATAATGGCTTCCTCGTGCAGGCTCTCAGATGCCTTTTGGAAAGTAGATAATCTAGTCATTCGCAAGGTTGCAGAAACCTTACAAACAAATTTAATAACAAATCTCCACTCACCCGTCTTCCGTGTCCGCTGTTTCTTCTGTTTGCTTGTCTCTAATAACGGCCCGAACAATTCCTTATTCTCCTTGTTAAATAGTTTTAATTTTTCAGCAGCATTCAAGAACGAAGCGGGACGAACCACTTTATTCCTGATAAATTCTCTACTTTTCCTCTCAAATGAGATTCTTTGGCCGATCGTGCACACTGGTCGGAACATAGTGTATTTGGAGTTTAGCTTTAGTGTACTTTTGATTTTTAGTTAACAATTTTTTATATGATCAAATACAGTTAAAATATTTCATCAGAAGTTCTAATCCAATCCTAATCAAAAATTGACAAAATATGATGAAATGAAATCGAAGCTCTTTTATATTTTACTCATTGAAAATTAAAAAAGCATTTGTCAAAATCAAATGACAATGAAATGGCATGAGTTTTTGACATAGAGTTTAGTTGTTGATCAAGCAGAAAAACCTGCCATTAAAAAAAAATATAATTGTGTTTTGCGAGCTTAATTGTGTCATGAAAATATGAACTAATGTAGCAGCTAAAAATAATGTTCTATAAAATAATATTTTTTGGGCTCTATTGTGAGTCGATTATTTAAATTTTAAATGAACCCAGATATTTCATAGATGGCGCTGTTGAATACGGTTTAAGACTAAACTTTTAGATGGCGTTGGAAACATGCGCTATGTGACCAAATTAAAAACAAACGGCTGTTAAAGATCTCTCTCACGAATTGAGTAATATTAAATTCGGTAGGATAATACCAAAATATGAATGAAACAATTGCTATGCGGATAAATTAGGATGCTATTTTCTTGGACCACTTTAATGCAAAACGAGCACTTTTGTTCCTGGAGGTATTATATCCATTAATTTGGCGGGAAAATGGATATCGCGAGATTGTTTGTAGTGAGCATTTGAAAAACGCCGGCTAGACGCAGCTTGCGTGTGGCCGTGTCTTCTCTTCTGGCATCGAAAGTTGAATTTATTGAACAGGTGGTCAGGACTATCGGGTGTTCGAATATATTACGAAATTATTTGTTAGTGTTTAATTTTATTTAAATTATGAGACAGACTGCTACATCTAAAAGTGGATTGATGTGAGAAAAAAGAAGTGTAATATCCCGAGGGATTTCTCTTGAATATTGTAAGTATACCTACTTGGTAATTTTATTTATATTACCTAGCAAATATTTATTCATATTTTTTTTTTAATACATGCTATTGCAAGATATATAAAGGTTAGTCTAGTATTAATAACATTATTCGCACAAAATACGAATTTAGAAAACATACTACAGGGTGGGCCATATCAGTGTACCCTGTATTTTTTTGATTATAAATAATGGAAGGTATACCAAGTTTTGTTTGATTTCTAGATTGTAGTAGCTTGTTATTAGGATTAATTTTAGTATCTAAAGTTGTTGCATTAGGTAGGTACCTACTTACATATTTACCACCTACACAAATTTTATCTCTTGAAAAGTTTAGTTATTTCTTACGTCTATGAGCTAGGTAAGTACGATTGGTTTACATGTCGATTTTTACTTAGAATCATAGTTTCAAAAATTCAAGAGATCTTGTAATGGTAAAATAGCTAGGATTAGTACTAGCTAGTAGCTATGCATTTGGATTGTCTTATGTAATTTAAGTAGTTATTTTACATTTATGAAATAGGTACCTTTAAGTACGTAGGTATTTAAGGCCAAAGTTGGCAGCTGCTGCTGCTGTACACTTGCACTGTCCCTCGCGATATTAGAAGGAATACCTGTATGATTTTTAGTACCTATGTAATTTAGATTCGACATCGAACTGCAATGCCATGCCTTAACTCCGTAAAAAAACGTAGGTACCTTACATATACCTAATAACTGGAAAAAAGTAAAAAAAAATAGTTGTCACTTTCAAAAATTAAATAAAAATGCCTATTGTAATATCAGCTGACGCAAGGCAACATTATTACTAAGGTATATAAAGGCAAAGAAGCATCTATGCTGAAATTTATGGAATGCTAGAATGAAGATGAATAAGGCATATGAAATTACGACGCCTAGCGTAGCTTTGAGGCCTAACTTTTTATGTTCAACAGCGTAGCTTTCATCCAGGTATCCATTTACATTTCATAAGTCTTTCGTAGCAAATGAAAATGAAAATCCAAATGTTATAGGATTGGAATTTAAGGTATGTACTAACTATAAAAAGTGATTGTGACCCCAGACATTTCTGGTTTGCCAAAGGCTGTGAGTTCTGAATTTAGGACCAAAAAGTATGAAGGTTTTGCCATAATATTCATCTCTCACACTGGAATTATTTCAGTCATCTTCGTCTTATTTCAACTATTTAATGAATAGCTCGTTAGTTAGAAAAAAAAACACGTACTTAATTTTAATTTAGGCAATTTACGAGCACTTGTCTCGTTGAAAGAGATCCCCTGATTAAGTAAAGTACAGTAAACAGTTTGTTCATTCATTTAACTTGTGTAAAGAGTGGCTGTCAGACCAGCGATAAGATGGTGAAAGAAATTAATTTAAAAATGGAACCATTCAGTGCATCGCGGGAGCAGAATTTTAATTAAAAAATGTCTGCCACGATGCGAGAGGAGATTTATTTTAACAATTTTTCCCGCCACACTTAATCTAATTTCAAGTTGAATTTATTTGTAGTAGTTGGAGGTTTTCACGGTTTTCATTTCTCTTTCAAGCCAGTTCCACAGTTTGTGCGGTCGCTCAATTTCGGATGTTTGCGGTGTTGTGTCAATAAATTGACTCAAGCGAATTTGTGTCATGGCGTGGCTCAAACTGATGATATAATTGGCATAGAGACTCACCAAGAGTTTTGTTTTTTCTCTTGTGTGAGATACTGGCTCCTCATTTTAGTAAAATATACCGTTAGAAACCTTTTTAAAGTTGCTGACATAAACACAAAATCATGATGACACTATAAAATCAAGATTAAGTATACCTATCAGCCGATAATTATCCGATCATCATCGCTTGATATAATATTGTGGATGTATTTTTTTTTTTTTTTTTTTTTTTTTTTTTAAGGGGGGAAAATCATCGAATGACTGCCCCCGCCTGGGTGAGGCCGGAGGGAGTGTCAGACTCTTACTGACTAAAAACCACCCCGTTCCTTCTCCTGCACGTCGAGCCGGAGCCCCGGTTACCCGTTAGGTTCTCCGCGACTCCGAATCGGCATCGGCCCTATTGGGCCCCATCTGTGGTGGTCTGATGGCTCTTTGAGGCGCGCGCGGAACGCGACGCGCCGTACGCTCGGGATTGTGGATGTATAAGCCCTTTCCATAACCTCTAGTAGATTGAGTTATACGATTATACCATTATACCTACAGCAGTGTATCTAATGGATACTAAAGCTATGATCGTAAAATTCGTGGCCGTAAAACTATTGGTCTCTTCGATGCGATAAAGTGTAAAGAATGCTACTTTATTGCAATTTCTTGTGTCCATTGCAATTTATGATGCCTGGTATGCTGGAAGTATCGAACAACTCTCTTTTGAACCAGGTGGCAAAAAATATAGATTTTTTTTCAAATACTTCGATTAATCATCTTATATACTTAGTAATTATTACCTCTATAACATATTCACGCTTTTATTCGATCCCTCTTTATGTCCCTTGGGAAATAATAGGAGTGCAAATACTAATCACGCATTATTCCCTAAAGCTTCGAAATTTTTGGAAATAAACCAGAAATGGTCGCTACGTGAACTTGCATATTAATGAGATATCGATGGCGTTACCAAACGTTAGTGCTTGTTGGTCTAATGGGCACAAACGCGAATACGATTAAGTAAGAATAGCTATTGTTTAGATCAGGCAAAGCATTAGGCACAAAAGAAGCCAAAAAGTGTATTCATACATTTGCAAGCTTGAAGCGGATTAAAAATTTTAGTGGGAGATCAAATTTAAATGATCCAAAAGCATAGCAGTCGCCTGATTAGTGAAAATAATAATATAAATAAATTAATATTATGTTTTCGGAAATTCGTAGCAAAATGAATCCATGCCTAGTACCTGTCTCTTTTTGTAAGTATGTGATAGATGAGGTCTATAGCACCTAAACAAGATGTTAGAATATAAAACCTAAAACATTTACGAATTTTTAGAAAACCGAAAAGTTTTTAGACTCGAACAAATAAAACACGTAACGATGGGTAAAAATTTACCGGAAAAACTTTCGCCAGGATTTATAACAGTTCTGAATATCGCTTTAGGACAGTTATGAATGTGTGCTCGATGTACAGAAAAGTTCCGAAAATATGAAACAACCACGAAAAGTGTACCAAATTCCGTCAGTTCAGTTCGACACCAAAATATGTTCGTGCTCTAACATTCGGAAATGATTCGGCAATAAATTAATTGGATTCAGTGATTTCGCAAATGACTGCTCCATTCATATGCCATTTCCCTTAATGGATAGAAAGATGAAATAACTAAAATAGGTTTATTACCCACTTTTCAACAACAATGGCCAGTTGTCAGGCAAGGAAGTAATTAGGTTAAGCTCTCACTGTCTTCCTCGATAGCCTCTGATAGACAAGTAATTACCTCCAACAAAATATCCATTTTATTTGGAACTAAATCTTTTCTTTATTGGCTAGGCCTACTTCTGAGAAAACGTTCTGTTAATGGGATTGTAATATTATTTTTTTTCATTGAAATGATCCGAATCATATAATTTCTGAGAAAATGGCTTGTAAAAGATAAAAGCTTAAGATTTTGTCGTAGGGTGTTTACACTTCTTGGTATCGAGGTTAGCTTTATTACGATCGTGTCATATTAAATGGTAGCAGGTCTCCGGACCGCTGTTATACTAACAAACGATCTCGGAAAGACATTGGCATAATCCTCCCAGTTGATTGGATTGTTGACCGCAGCATAATGTTATTAGTACCGAGGCAGATGCCGTTGCCCATGTTGATATTATCTCAGCTGTCTCCTAGGACCGCTAGCAATATTAGCTCGAGCTAATCCACCACTAAAACCAGCCACCGGTGCTGCATGCTAAATGTGAGCGATCCGAATGTTAACTCAGGTAATAAATTTTGCAATATTGTGTACTATCGGGTGCAACGTGCAGCTGAATCAAAACATACCTTTTGTTCAAACAAAGAAGGCATTTTCAAACGCTGCATGTGCAATCAGGCTTACGAAAATAAAAACATCAAAACGATTGTTTGTACAGCTAGCAGCATTCAATAACTGTTGAATTGTACGAGGTCGTTTGTTTTATTCTTCGCTGGTGTATAAGCAGATTGGGTGTTATTTGGATAAGCATTAGATTTTTTTGCAAATACATAGTTTTTAAATCAAGTCAATACCAAAGAAAACCAATCACAACCATGGAAAAGGGACTTATAACTGAGT